TTTTTTTTTTTGCAGTATGAATCATGTTGCATGTTTATCACCGTTGAAACATTGCGAAAAATTGGAAGAGCTCTATCTGCGACGTAACGATATTGTTAGCCTTAATGAATTGGAACATTTAAAGAATCTAAAAAACTTGAAGATTCTATGGATCGACGACAATCCATGTACCGTTGGTGTCAATCATCGGCCACGTGTACTAAAAATTCTACCAACTTTAACTCGTCTTGATGACAAACGTATGTCGTCGTTTTGGTGTTTTGCATACCAAATGATTGGTTTCCTATTTTTTTTGCTCAATTATACTAAATGTTTCTAAATGTTTGCAGGAAATGTTACCAGTTGTAAGAAACAAATACTTTTAAACCTATTTAATAGATAAAAGAAAAAAAAAAGATGGAAAAAAAAACAGAACAATTATTAATTTTTAAGCATACAATTGTTCAATTATGGTTTAAAATTTTTGCAAGTGTTTTTCAATTTCAGAAGGCACCAAAACTAGTTTCTGTTTCATTATCTTTATTCTATTCAGGTAATAATTGCTGTCGGTGCTCAGGGTCAATATGCTTTTTTAAAATTTTAAACACTGTTGACAATAAGGCTTTGCTTTTTTTTTTTTTAAAGACGATTATTTTATACTATTTGAAAATTGTTATTTTGCTAGGAGAAGAAAAAAAAAAGCACCATCATGAATATAATTGTTTTTTTTCTTACCTTTATGAATCAAATAACTCATATCAATCAAACACTATATATGTTGTATGGTTTTTTTTCTTTCTTTAGCAGTAACAATCGATGATTTACGTGAAATGCGTGAACTTGGACGTCGTCGGGGTAGTAGCGAATTTGAAATTGCATGTGGTGATGATCGACGAATTGTTGATACTTTGTTGCCAAATAATTCGCAACTTTTGGACCTGACATCCAGTCGTTCATCGTGTACACTGAACGAAGATGTTGCATCCTATAAATCGCTGCAGTCATCGATGTATGAAAGTTTGATTAACGATGATGTCATTGATGAAGATCAATCATGGCAAGATTTCAGGTAACGGCAACCGAAGTGATTATAACTTTCTACAAACTTTTATAATTAATTGTTTTTTGACTGATATTTGTAGAAGTTAATTGCATCAATAGAACCAAAATAAAGGTGTAAAAATTGATGCCAACAAATATCATCAATTATTCCTTGGCTTTCTCTTTTCTTCAAAAATATTACTACAATTTAATGAGTATTTGTTTGCTAAAATGTTGTTGTAGCAATAAGTATTTGTTGTTAAAAGCTATCAAACAGCTAATTTTTGGTTGCTATTACAGTCGAACTGACAGTTTAGAGTTAAACTTGTTTACAGCTTAGATGAGAAACGTACAATTGTACCGGATGGATCAATGTATTTGCTGTCAGAAAATCCAATGAATTCAATAATGTATCAAAGTATGTATGAAGGTTCACAAAGTGCTCGGCATATCGGCTCCTATAAGATACCGGTATCTGTACACCAGCGAAGTATCAGTTTACCAAGGCGAAAAAATAATACTTTTTCACTAAGTCCATTAAAAGTTAGTTTGTATAAAAATTCTCTTCTTTTTTTTTTGACAAATGAACAAATTGGCAACAAAATATTTTTGTTGGCACATTAATTGTTGTAATGGGATAAAAAAAATAAAGCCCAAACAACAACCATAACTGAGTGATGTTTCTTTTAAACTGTTGTTGTTTGGTTTTTTTTTGCATGAACTTTTTTTTGCTATGATCACTGTTGAACTAAAACAAAATTGTAACTAAACGATTGCGGGAGGTCAAGCTGAAATTGAGGTTTCCAAGAAGGAAAGGCTGCAGATAAAGATTAGAATCATAGTTTCACTTTTCTCATAGTGTTTCGTATACCGTTATTGTAGTCAAAAACTAAAGAAGAATAAGATAGGGAAAAAAATTGGAAGTTTTTGTTGAACTTGATAGTATTTATAAATAAACGGTTTTTTTCTGAAAAACCTTTACTATAGTTTTTTTCCCTTTTTCTTTTTGGCTATTAAATTTAATTTATTTGTCATTTTTTGTTTCGTATTCTTTTGTTGCCTTTTTTTGTTCGTATCCTTTTTCCACTTATCGTCATAAAAAAGAAAAAAAAAGAAAAAAGAATTTTTTTGTTCTTTTAAATTTAATTTCTCAGTTTCTTTTGGCTTCTTATTGTTGCTGTGGTTTGTTTTGCCATTTTCAGAATGTTCAAAGAAGGGAAAAAATAATGTCAGCAATAAATGTTTTATTGGACGAATTGGATGCTGACGGTTTGCGGCGAGTCGTTGATGAAGCTCAGAGGAGGATTAAAAAACAAAGATGATTCCTTATACTTTATCTTTTTTACACTCTTTTAATCATTCCTTCTTTTTCTTCTTTCTTTCTTTTGATATATACATATAAATAGCACTGATTGTTCAAGTTTTTTGCTATTATTAAAAGTAATAAATCCAAAGCAGAAAATGCTGTTGCAGCAAAAAAGAAAGAAGAAGAAAATGAATGAAGTTCTGATAATTTTTTATTATTTTTGTTTCTTTTGCTGTTATTATTATCACCTGTTTTTCGTCTCCTTTTTATATCTTTTTTTTT